CACAGAGGGTTGCTGTGTAAAATTTAAATGCAAAAGCTCTTCTCGGAAGTGTTACAGACGGACAGAAAAACACACGGACTGATGAATAGACCTAATTTAGTATCCCCACTTTCAGTGAAAGGGGAGACAATTATATCAGTTTTTTGTTGATGTTAAACTTGGTTTATCAAGATAATTGTAAAAACAAAACAGAATTGATTTCCCAGTGATTGTTCAGATCTTTCTTCCCAGTGATTATTCAGATCTTTCGTTTCCTACATAAATAGATTTTGATATCATATTGAGCTTTATAATATATACACTTACATATTTATTTATTTTGACATCAATGTGCACTTTGCAGTACAGTTCCAAAAAGTCAGATAATGTATTGAACCAGAATGCAAAAATCATATCAAATCATTTCCCCCCAAATGACTGAAGAGTCTTTCTCAAACTCATGAGTTAGGACTTTATGCTGTATCATGTAGCATTATAAAAATTAGCTGAAGAAAAAAAATAGAATACAATTACGAAGAAGTATAATTGAACTGCCTAACTTCCAGTACAAGTCAAATTGAACCATCTTAGATGTCTTGATTAAAGCTGAACACGACTCGTAAATAGGCATACACCATTTTCGATAGCATTATCTACGATACATCAATACTAGGGTATACTCGTCGCATTCGTTACACCTGACTGCTTTATTGTCACAGGTATCGGCGTGGAATGGCGATCAGTTTTCTTGCTGGTTATCTTGCATTACCTTTGTTTATATTTTATTGCAGTTACGTTTATCTGTGTTGTTTGTATACTGCACTTGTACAACTATACTTGTAAATTCATTTTGTATCTTACTTTCCTGCATTTGACGAAGTATTACGTTATTATTCTCGCTACCAAGTCCTGTATAGCATACGTCCGTCTACACTGGTGTCAACTGATTACACTGAACACTCTCTAATTCTTGCCCTATTTATAGGGGTCTGCAGGGCAGCGAGACTTGAGAACAAAAATGGTGGACACATTACTTTTACGAATCGTTTTCAGCTTTAAATATTTTTATTTTAGGCACAGAGCAACAGAAAGCGTTGTTTTTTTTTAACTCGACCATGTTCATAATGCATGTACATGTATCATTTCTCAGGTACTTTTAATATACAAGTATACATACAAATTTAATATTCAGTACTCATAATGATGTTCATCAGCTCAGGCAATTACAGGTCCGAGAATCTGTGTCAATACTAATGGAACAAATGCTCACTGGATCCATATCAAAATATCACTTTCACATAGAACATTCTATTCACTCAGGGAGTCGTTGACTTTTAAAGCATCATACCAGTGACTTTTCATACCAATTTTGCATAGCTCAGTTTTTCCAAGGAGGGGTCCAAGGTCACAAGTATGATTCACTGTTATCTTTGGATTTTCAGTAAGGCGTGGTATTCTTGATGTTATATAATAAGCCTCTAAAATTTACACAGCTTTTATTTATTGTTGAAATATACGTGGCTGGGATAGAAATTCGAGCAAATGTCAAAGAGTATAACCAATAACAGGATTACATATAAGAAAGAAGTAAGGGATTAAATTGTCTAATGATTGTGAACAACGATTAAAAGTACCTGATGTTATAAATTTTTTAACCAATGAAAATCTATTTGCCATTTGAAAGAATACTACGTCTTATGAAAGTCTAAAGATGACAGAGAATTGTACTGCTTGGTTTAGTATGTACATAAATCTGCAATGTCCATAAGAACACACACACTCACCACTAGATCCTCCATGAAAATTTCAATCAAGAAGCATCCTATAGAAATTATACTATGGAAAGGAGAAAAAAATTATAAGTGCTGAAAAAAAAATATTGTGTAAGGGTGATTTTGTCAGGTCGGTCAGAGTACATAAAACAAATCTTTTTTTATTGTTTGACTTACGTAACCATTTTAATGATGAACTCTTTCAGATATTAATTTATCTGACCTTATTCATTTTAAAGATACATGTATATAAATTGCTCAAACATGTCACCATTGAACGTGTTCATATTTTACCAATTAAATGACATAGTTCTAGAAATGATGCTCTCAATGTCATTCTAGTCATCAACTATAGAGCTTGGTGTTAAGAATGTATTAAACGAATTTGAATTATGTACGGAAAACCTTGATCATTCAGTGTCCCTAGCTTAAGAATGGGATCTCTGCCTTCCAAGGACACGATCACCTATAAGCACAGTTTTCACAATGAACTTTTTGTCTGTGAACTTTGGGGAAATTAACTTGGTAGGATAGCTACAGATTGTTATAGTTAGTTTTAAATTCTCTGAATTCTAAAACTTTAATGTAACACAGTAATTAAAGAAAATAAATATTACAAAGTGGAAACACTGAACATATTCATCTCCGCTTACATAGATTTTATCTATTTGTATATTATATGGATAAAAACATGAAAGACAACGTTGCACCTTACTTAGACAGGCCCAAGCATTTCCTGTAATTAGAAACCAGACGTTAAAAATATGTGGCAAACAAATCACTTATTTGTATCTATGAATGGCGAAAAATGTATTACATAGATACAAAAAGTAGTAAAACGTGCCACTTCTCTAAATTTTTAATCAAATAAATTGCATCCAAACGACCAATGTTGAAACTGAAAGTATTTTCTTCTTTCACTTCCGTCATAACGTCACATATGCGCATGAACGGTTTATAGAATATTCTGAAAATTGAACCCGATTACTATTATGCTTGTGAATCGTGAAAACGAATTTCTGGCCGTCTATGCATTAAATATTCAACTTATGATTTAAACCATACTTATTACTGTTCTATTATCGATAGTTTTAAATATTTAAAGCGATTTTTAGACCCAAATCCTAAAAGTATAGATGTTGAAAAGATTTTTAAGGTCTTCCGTTTCCAACGGAAGACCTTCTACTGATTCTGTTGGTAAAGATTATTATTCTTTTTTTTCTTCTGCTTCCTAGACCGCAACTTTGAGGCCTCATATCTCGCTCATTTCTCAACGGATTTCGCTCAAATTTTCAGACGTTATAGACGTTAATAAACTCTATCAGAATAATGTCTAAAATTTCAAAAAGCCACTTCCGGTTTTGAGTTATTTCCCTTTAAAGGAAAATTTATAGGCTTTCGTTTCCAGACAAAGGCTCAGAGACGGCTAAAGGTGGAGCAGAAATTCTACTGATTTTAGATAATAGAAGGATTGAAGTTGTGCACATCGGTTTTTGTTTTTCGATTTCTGTATTCAAAATGGCGCTATATAGGGGTCAAAAATAAGAACGCTTAAAATAACCAAAAATTACTCATATTTTTCTTTTTATCTTCTAAACTAAAAATATTTTGTTAAAATATATAGAACATAATTTGTGTAGAATTAGAAGATCTTTCAAATGATATGTCAAAAAAAGGGCTGACCCCTAAATTAAGGGACCTAAAGGGGCCAAAAGTTTTTTCCAGATATTTCAAAAAGTATTGAGAATTTGTTATGCATCAAAGAAGCAAAGTTGTTCAAAATATCAAGCTTTATCTAATGGGGTCGTCAAAATACGTCTGGCGACGTCACTTCCGGTCAAACCGGAAGTATTCAGAAAATGCATATTTTTGCCGTTTTTGACAGGTTTTTGGGTAACATGTCTCACTAGAAGCTTAAATATTAATTTTCCGTCCGTCGTCGTCACTTCCAGTCAAACCGGAAGTACCAAAGAATGGCTTAATTTTGCTATACTTAACATAGATTTGGAGGATTAACCCATTTTTGGACTTCATTACTCTTTTTTTTTAAATAAAAGTTACTTCCGGTCAAAAAGGACGGAAGACCTACTCGTTGCTTTGCAACGAGCTCGGCTCTAGTTCAAATAATCATTTTTCAGCAAATTTGGATTAAAATGTGAAATTTTCTTGTCTGATGCCCGCTGCCCCACTTAATTTTTTTTGCCATATAAGTGAGAGACTGATGAAAAATAACGTGTTAATTTAAAAAAAAAACCTGTAGTTAAAATATCAAACAGCAATTTATTTTTACTAGTAATGAAGTTTATGATTTTGAGCTAAATATGTTTAAATTGCCCTAGAAAGTAATATTAAGTGGATCAGCAGATTAAAAAAATAGTTAAACCGTTAAACAAGCATATCTTCGCTATAATTCATATGTTTAAAATTTTCTTTTGCTTTTAATTTTAGAAAGCAAGCATAAATATCTTAATTACTGCATTTTCGTAATTTCAAGAGACTATGTCTATTTTTAGTAACAATCCTTTCAACAGGAGGCCCGGTTGACCCCAAAATTTACACAGATCTTGAAAGCACAAGTACTCAGTTAAGATTCTGAGAAGTAAAGGCACAAATTAAACAATCGTTTTTTCCGTTTCAAGCTTTATCTTATTTGCGTCTGCGGTAAGTTTTTGTTAATAGTAAAACAGTTTATTTCTTATTTTTTAGAGAAGTTACAAACAATTGCTATGGCGGCCTCCCCTTACGCCTCTACAGAGGAGACGACAAATGCCTGTAGAGCCTGTCGACTTCTCCTTGGTCCGTGTACTGATCAACTGAGGGATGTATTACTTCACCATGTACGACCGTCAACATTCCCAAACATCATTAAACAAAAGATAAGTAATCTTCCCCGTCTGACAGCACCACAATTAAATTTAGTATTACCTAGAGGGAGCACTTATGCAGGAAACTACAATGATATGGATATTCCTTTATTGTACACACTTCTCAGAAATATTTGTAACATACCACCACACAGTAAAGGCTGGAGAAATGATCCAGACCCTACCGACAGATCTCTCTCAGCCAACATTGAGAGGACCCGTATTGCTAGAAATCAGTGTGTACATTCCTCTAGTCCTGTTCTCTCCAATGCTGATTTTAATACAGTATATGGTCCACCGTCAGATCAGCAGTTGTGGACTTTGATTCTTTTCTGAACAACGGAAATCAGTATGAAAGAGAGGTGGATTTTCTGAGGCATGAGACAATGGACCCTGTCCGTGATCGTCATTACATAGAAGAACTGAGGAAACAAACTGAAGAAGATGCAGCAACAAGAGAAATCGTTCATGGCCTGAAAAGTAATTAAATATCTATTAGAACACAGATAAAATCTGTACACATATTTTGCGATACGAAACTGTAAAATTTAAATGAAATCTAGTATTCCAATGTAATCAAAAGCATGGAGCATAAATTCCTGTCCACACATACTTACTCTAACATAATTGTTAACCGTATGCCTGATCAAACCGACAGCCCTTGATGGGTGTGAAACACGTTCAAAGGAAGAAATTTAAGTTTGGGGGTGCTTATTTTTCTTTGAAAATCGTTCTTGCTCTCCGTGTTACCAGGGATCAGACTTTTTAATAACATGTTTATGACACGAACAGGAGCAATATTATCAATCACTACTATCCTTCTCAAGTTTTTCTATTGTAAAACTTATTTTATTGGAATTAAGATTACGATACCTGAGAAATAAATTACAGGACAAACGTAAAGTATAATTATGATTTTTACAATAAATTTACGATTTGTAACCTTTAAACTGTGTCATGAATTTAAGTCCAGATAAAATTAAAGCTCATTGCAAAATAAAAATTGTCCGGATCCGAGAATTAGTCTAACGCACAGTCAACTGTAGAATTGTCCCCCTTTATCTAAGAATATTCAATTGTACGGACATTTATTTAATTTATAAAAATTTCTGAATTTTTTTCCAGACGACGTCTCAAGTTTTAAAAATGCTGTCATTCCTCCACATGTAAAAGGTAGTATTATATTTGGGTAATATTTAAAATGAAATCAGATTAATTCATTCAAAACAATAAACATATTTTTTGCAATACAGAAAAAAACAAACTTTAATAGTCCTAAATTGAATCAAAACTATTATAACCTTGTGCTTGAATTATTTTCTTATATTTATTAACTTTATATCCTAACAGGTTTAACAATTACAAGCTATCATTGCTATTTATCCAACTTCAAATTTCTATACTACAGTCTTAAACTGATATTTCTTTATTTTATTAAATTAGAAAAATCATAACCTATACCTTAAGAAAAATAATGAAATCCCCTAATTTTAATATTTAATCGTCTGACTTATTGTTTTTTTACGACTAGACTGGAAAAAGGTATTTAGAGATATCTGATTAGAAGGAAGATAACTTAAAAATCATTCCAACATGCCTATGATCCAGTGTTTGAATTGCCAATAAATAAATGTTGAAAGCCTTATAGACACTCAGTTGTCACATTTAAAAATGCAAACTGTTTTCACTTGTAGCTATTCATAAAGGTGATGTCAAACAGTGGAGAGAAGATGACAAGTGCTTCTATGAATCTCACAACTTTTCGTCTATGCCAGAAAAAGTAAAGAAACACGCTTATGTTACGTTTGTTGGAGTCCCCGGATCTGGAAAAACGGCAACTGCTCGTCACATCGCCCTCATGTTACAACAAGAAGGATATGAGATTGTACCCATCAAAGAGATCAGAAAGATAGAGGACTGCTGTGATCCTAACAATCCACAGGTTTTTGTTATTGATGATGTGGTTGGTGTCTTTGGACTTCAGACCACGAAACTTAATCTTTTGAAGGATTATGAAAAAAGAATTATGAATCCTGTAATGTCAAAATCAAAAACTCTCATGACATGTAGAGAAGCAGTGTATAGAGAATCATTAGCATCCAGTTCATTTTTACAGATGAAAATAATGTTTTGTTACATAGTGAATCTAATGCTTTAACTAATACTGACAAAATGTGCTTACTGAACACGTACAGCATCGATGTAGATCTGTTGTCTAACGAAAATCTGATATCGGCATCAAAAATGTTTCCGTATCTCTGCAAACTGTTTTCAACTAAAAAGAAGTTTCAGCTTTATGGGCCTGCATTTTTTGAAAACCCAGTTCCATGTATTTTAGTTGAACTTAATGAAATGAAACAAGAAAACAAAATTCAATATGCTTGCTTGGTTTTATGCGTAATGAATGAAAACAGAATTTCAGGGAAAATCTTGAAAACAGAAAAAGAAACTGAAAATTTCCGTGAAATGAAACTAAGTGTTTTAGAGCAATGTAAAGTCAGTATTTATACTGATGATTTTAAATTTGTTGATGCTTTGTCAGAAATGGAAGGGACATACACAAAACTTTGTGGTAATGAGTATAGTTTTGTTCATGATTCAATGTTTGAAATTGTTGCGCATCATTTTGGTTCCAAGTTTCCAGAAGTCATCTTAAAATTCATGAGTAGTGATTTTATTGCTAACAATGTAAAGATTCGGGAATTTCTAACTCAGAAGATTGACGATAGAGAAAAGCAAGTGGATGAAAATACTGTGGTCAGTGAAGAAAGTGAACAAGAGGAAAACACTGTTGAAGGCAGTACTGAAGAGAATACTGGCGTAGACTCATTCCATCTCTGTATAAGACCAGAAGAAAAACACTTTCCATTTCTAGCAGAGCGGCTATACAGGGATACAGAAGATATGGAACTGTGTGATGTATTTATGAACAACGTTTTAAAAGATTCAAAGGTGTATCAGGCTTTTGAGAAAGTATTAGAGACAAAGTCTGATACTAAATTGGAAACTTTATTTCTCTCAGTGCAGAAAGATGTAACAAAGATATTAGGTAAGGTTTCCAAGTACCTTAACTTCGAGTGGGGCAGACAGGAGGTTTTGATGAATCTGAGATGGGAAAGAACTGGACATACATACAAACTGAGGGTTATCAGTTGGGTAATTTATCATGGACACCATCGGATTCTACAATATATTTTGAATCGAATGAAAATCAAAGAAACAAGGAACATTGCAGATAATGAAATTAGAGAAGAATACCGTTTACTTTTACTCGCTTGTTACAGTGGTAATTTAGTCACCGTTAAAACATTGATGAAATATATAAATAAAAATTCACTAAAATTGATTCTAGGACCTCAATTTGTCTCTTTTAGTGATACACCATTTTTAGCAGCATGTAAAGGTGGAAATATAGGTATAGTGAAGGAATTGTTAGTAGCTGGGGCAGATATTAATTTTCATGGTGTTAATTCTGCACCCCTGATAGTGGCATGTAAATTTGGCCACAAGGAAGTAGTGAAAGAGTTGATACAGGTCGGAGCTGATGTCAATGTTGAAGTCGATAAGGATACACCCATGACAGCAGCATGTATGGGTGGACATGAAAGTATCGTGAAGGAACTGATAAAAACAAAGGCTAAAGTTAATCAAACAGGTGGAGTTCATACACCGCTTTCGTATGCATGTAGTATGGAAAACCTAAAAATAATAAAAGATTTGTTAAAGGCTGGGGCCAATGTCAATCTTGGTTCAGTAGATATACCACGGACAGCAGCATGTAAGAGTGAACAAAAAAGTCTTGAAATAGAGCCACTAAAGGGCGGAGCTGAAGTGAGTCCTTTTATCACGCCATTAATAGAAGCATGTCACTATGGGTATATACCTGTAGTTCAACAACTGCTAGAGGCCGGGGCTGATGTCAATCTAAAGTGTAAATATGGTGCACCACTGATAGCAGCTTGCAGATGTGGACATCTGGGTATAGTTAAGAAACTGCTAGAGGCAGGGGCTGATGTTAATATACAGGATTTAAATGGTCAAACACCTCTATATACAATAGTTTTATATAATACTGAGACTCACATACCAGTTAAATTGATGGTTAGTAGTTATGGGGCAGATCCGACAATCTGTGATACGGAAGGGATTTCAGCATTTTATTTAGCCTTAATCGAAAACAAACTTCAAGTTGTGAAGCAATTGCTTGAGGCCGACAACAAACTTCGGTTGAATAGACTGAAGTTGCATTTTTTCGACTGTTGTGCAAACATAAGAAATAGCGACATTTCTTTAGATAGTAAAGATGATGTGGTGGTTCAAAAAAGAGGTGTATTTCGTATTAAGAAATCAGGATTTATGTTCAAGGCAATCATTGATAGCAAATGTGAAGTACTGAAACGTCTGTTAGATCTAGGTCTGGATGTTAATCAATGGATACAATTGCATGATGAGGATAAATCATATTTTGACGTGAAACCTCTTCTGTTTACACTGATTGATGAAAGATTGAAATTGCTAAAAGATGTGAAAGGTGTATTAGAGATGGTAACACTTCTCCTGGAGGCGGGGGCGGATGTCAGTGAAGTACAAAGAATATCTTCCTCTGTCAGTCCTCTGGAGTTACTCTTTTAAGCGGTATGGATGGAACGATGATTACAAGAATTTACGTATAAAATATGCATTGCACAAAGAAGGTTTTTCTATTCTAGAGAGAATACAAAGAATCCTGAATGACATGAGATGGGAAAAAGAACTCATTGACGCATTGAATATAGAAGAAGTGAATGAGTGTAAAAAAGTGTTAGATGAATCAAAAAAGCATGTAAGGCGATACTCTCTGTGATATTTTTTTTTCGATAACATGATAGTGTTGTACTAAAAAGTGCAAATTTCGTCTATTACTGTATTACTAACACAATTTACAGCGTTCATTTAACTAATATCATGTATGGTTTTCATAACAATAAATCAAGATATGATTACTGTAAATTTCTAATTCTTTTTTTTTACCTCATTTATTTTAATATGAAGTTGAGAATCACTTCGATGGAGATTTTCATAATGATTACGTTGTTAAAGTAATTTTAAGAGTAGAAGTCATAAAGTTTAATTGCAAAACATTACTTTTTTTTACTTTAGCAACAGTATAGTAATATAGCCTTCAGTGTAAGTTGTCATTCGTCTAACAATTTATGTTATGTGTATGTTGCTCAGCAGGAAAAGTGCAATTGTATTATCAAATTTCTGCGAATGTAAAATGAATTTCCATAATACATGTGTGACAGTGCATCTTGAACATAACTTCTCAACGTATCTTAATTTGGAATTTAGTTTTCAGACAGTGTGTGTGTGTATGTGTGAGGATGTGTGTGTGTGTGTGTGTGTGTGTGACATTTTTTATCCAAAAGGAGACATATTATTAGCAGCCAATCCATATTTTTTATATTTGAAACACTATTAAATTGACCACGCAACTCAAACCCTCTGATAATATCTTTAATTACGTTATACACTGGACCCTCATTTATCTGGACGCTTTGGTTCCCGGTCGCTTTGGTTGTCCAGATATGTGAAGCATCCGGATATCTGAAGGTCCACTGTATATGCGATTGGATGTTTTGTAGGGCCCTGTTAGAGATCCATATTACACTATGCACATGTAGATTAAATGCAATTCATAATCATATCAAAGATTTATCTTCTATTGCATATACGGCTTTATTCAATCCAGAATCTTGTTAGAAAATTAAATTTGAATATTATGTGTACAGTGTATTAATTTTAATAGCTTTACAAGGAGATTCATTTAAACTTTAAGTATCTTTGAATGTAATACGTTATCTTGTCAAGGGATTAATGATATATCTAATGTATTGTTTCATGTAAACAGGAGTATTTTCAGAGATTCATTCAATTTTGTGTGTATATTTTAATATTATTAATAGACCTCTAGGGAGTTTTATATACAAGGTCCTCCGTGAGCTGTTTTATTGTGTTGCTCCCGACAAAGAAAAGATTCAAATTTTATGAGTGTGACACAGTAAAAATTTTTCGACACAGTAAGATATGTGATAATCTAGTGTCTTTGAAATTACAAATCGTTGGCAAATCTTGTACACCAATTACAAATCAATAGACAAAATATATTCGAATGCTTTCAAATTGTTTGAATAAATATTTTGTGTTTGACGTCGGTTCTATCATATTAAACCATAATTATATGATTGGATGTCCCGTTCATTGATCTATCTTAGCATCCACTACAAGTATAAAGGCATGAGCTGTAGACTATGTTATTTTTACTCTCTTTCTCTCTCTCTCTCTCTCTCTCTCTCTCTCTCTCTCTCTTTCTATCTACCTCCCTCTCTGTCGTTCAATAAAATACAATTACATGGTTATCTATGTATTGATAAATATACATGTTCAATAAAAAAAATTATACACTGTAAATTTGATAGTTTTAGATCTCTGGAGACCTGGGAAGGTACAAGTAATTCAAGATTGTTATTTTGTGTTTATTCTTTGAACGTCTTTGTTTGTTTAATAAAGTATAGGATATACCGGTAGGTGTTCCCCATAATTTTAAAATCAGAACTACAATAGATTTATAATTTAATTCTGAATTAATTTTTATAAATTGTTCCTTGACTTTGAACTGACAGATTTGTACACAATATTCCTACAGGCTGTACCTGTCATCATTATACATTGGATTAAATACATTTCAAATAAAAATGTGTTTTGTAATTGCTGTATACAGGGTCATTTTCACTCTGTCTGTTCGAGATTATCTTAATGAGGTAAATCATACTTCAAAAAGGTTACTGTATACAGGGTTATTTTCGCCCCGTGTTATTTTCGCCCTTTCATATTTAGAAACAAGTTTGCCCCGTTTTAAATTCGCCCAGAAAGATTTTTTGTTTAAGATATTATACTGTTTACTTTGAATTCATTTTTTAAATTCGCCCACTTCTGACGAGGGCGATATTGGGCAAAAATTAAACGGGGGCGAAAATTTCCCTGTATACAGTATTTCCTGAAATTTGAACTATCTCAGACAGACAAGGACCATTTATAGATCCCCCCCCCACAAAAAAAAAAAAAAAAAAAAAAAAAAAAACCAACAACAACAAAAACCATTATACACGCCAAACACAAAAGGGGACCTTCAATCTGACACATTCATAAGATGCCTGGGACGGATCAAGGCTGAATTCAAATTAATTTCATGGGGACATAGACATTTTTGAAAATGCAAATTATATGAATGAAATCCCTTTAACTCATACTGAGACGTCATTTCTTGCCGGTGGAGAGCATGGAATGCATCAGATCCTTATAAATGTAAACATGTGTGGATTCACATCTTTAATATATTGAATAAAATAACTGCTCTAATTTTTTTTCAAAATTAATATTCCGCTAAAAGATATATACACCCTCCCACCCCAAAAGCCTTATTTTCTTATTAATTTTCTATGAGTTTTAAATATGTCATTTTTATACTCTGATTTAAACATGTTATAAAAATTGTAATGTTGTATGATACATCGGACATAAAAGGGCATTGTCTTATTCTGCTCATAAGCATATATCGACCGCATTGAGACTATACATGGGGTGGGTTTTATCAAGTTCCATATAGAGAAAATACAAAAATTCACAATTTTCTATACTAACTGTTTTGGATATAATGTTCTTCCGTTTGATTCTACCGGATATGAAGAGATTGTCGGTACATCAGTCAAAGTTGACATTGGAGGGTGTATTGGTTTAAATAGTACAGTGTTGGTAATTTGATCATTTTTTTATGACAATGGCCAGTGTTTATTGCAAGCTGACTAAATTAGTTAGCCAATAAGGTAGTGGAGGAGAGAAGTTTTTGTTAAAGAATAAATAGAATTATAGTTTCAAGTGGAGGTTCTTTTTAATTTGAATGAGGCAATATCTTTAGTCAGTATCACCTATATAATATCTGAAAACGGTATTCTTAGTTGTCTTGAAGAGGCTTAAAGAATAAACATCCATGTTTTTATATTAAAAAGGTAAAGCAATGTAGTATGATATACCTTATGAATATTAATGAAATATAAATTACGTGGATGCACTCTCATGTATAAATCGGACACCATTTCCTTATATGAATGATATTTTTACGCAACCCGTGACAAACTTTTTTTATATGTAAGGGCATTTTCCCCAAAAATCATCAATATCAGCTAGCGATCAATATGTTGAAATTTTGCATCTTTTCTAGAGAACTTTCATATCATTTATTTGTGTTTGTCACCCATTCTCAATATAAGGGCGCAAATAATGTCGCCTCGTTTTCATTTAGAAGAAATACCACTGATGTAATTTTTAAATCAACATTATAAATAGTCATACAACAATGAATAAGAATTCATATAATTATCGATCTGAAAGGGTATTTAAGGAATTCAAAATTCAAATATAGTAGCCTATTTGAAATGTACGTTACTGTCGCCGAGGCAAATATTATGCTGAATCCCCTCTGTGTAATATATAGTTTTGATTCTCAAGTTAAAATTTTCTGATAAGTTAAACCTTGTATCATATATACTTCTTTTCATAACAATAAATACATTTTCTTTGTGATAATAAATAATTTCTATTGTGCAATGTCCCTGTCGCTTAATTCTATTTTAACCACATTACAAGCAAACACAAAGATTATACACCTGATAGTTTTGTTCTCCTTTATTTATTGATGGGCTAAATTTGAAATTTCAAAGGGTTAATTACTCCTTCATAGATAATGTAACATGAAATTGAACAATTTGAGCAACTTTTATAAATATGTTTACGGAATGAAAGACATTTTCAATCGTAGAGATAAGAAAGAAATGTACGTTACCTATATTCTTCCATTAAGAATATATATTAAGTAGAAAATATGAGACGACTCTGAATAAGCAACCCCTTGTATCCTGTAAACTGGCAAAGACGTTTTGCTTAACACAATTAAAAATTATTTTTTACATGAAAAGTGATCATTTGAAATGTACGTGACTGAAATGTACGTTACCATGAAATTCGAATTAGGTGAATCTCGCACGAATTTTCATGTATTCTCATACTTTCACACACTCGAATGTGTACACAAAGTAAAGTTTCAAAGGTTGGAGGTCGGCTAAATCCCAAAATTAATGAAAAGAAACGTTTCTGCTGAGGAAAAAAAATATATTAAGGTCAATTATATGTAATATAATTTTGATACCTGGTATATATTTCTGAATACGAAACCTGTATGATGCATTTCTTATGATATGCAAGTTCAAATAGAATCAATATATTGCGTGTCTAACGTATGCTTGTGGAAGAGAATTGATTTTTATATTTGAAATGTACGTTACGAATGGTAACGTACATTTTGCGCATTTGTAACTGACATTTTTTTTATTATTTAGTCAATTAATTGCATTTACACGAGCGAAACAAAATTATCGTTACAATCCATTCGACAAATGACCACATAAATCCATCTAAATGCACCCCAATCCTCGTAAATGTGGTGGACTGTTACCACTTGCTAGAAAATTTATTTCTATGTGTCTTAAATTCATCTTTAGCAACCTTTTTGCAGTTTGTTTACTTTTAATATGCGAATTTTCGTCAATATAAATTTAATTGTTGTTGGTAATTTAAAACAAGGTATTCATAGGCTTATAATTGGTAAAAAAAAAAAAAACCCAAAACGAAACAAAAAGAAAAAGGAAAAAGAAACAAAACAAATGAATCCAGAACACAAGACGGTCACGTACATTTCAAATACTGAAAGGCACACAATACTCAGTTTTGTTTGAATCATTGCATTTTAGGTTATATTTTTCCAGATCTGCTGAAAATTACGTATGTTTGTGTTTTGACAAACGATGTTGCAACATACTATTAAAATGAAATTGTTAACAAGACTGTCGATGGATATATTCGGAATAGATTTATGTTAAGTTTCAATGGCCAAACACAAGCATTTGTTAGATCATAGCAAAATACGTCTGACTCTTTTTTGTGTCTGTACCCTTGCACACAGGTAGAAGTAACTAGGCTACGACCGGTGTCAATTTCAGCGAAACAGCACAAAAGAATGGTAATGAACTGAGATGGAGGGGACTCCTCATGTAGTTGATGACAAATAACCACGTTTGTTACCATATTATTTCTTATATTACTGCGTTAAAACGCTTCATTGAAATGATTTTTATGTCAATAATTGTTTTTTTCCCAATATTTTCTTATTACTAATTTATACATTACAAGCTTGAAATGTACTTTACCTACTCATATTCTGAAGCAACCGTGTCTTTATAGTGATGATTGTGACATATAACACAATGTGATTACATAGAGAATCTTTTTTGGAATAAACTGAAACAAAACTATGAATTTTTAGATGAATTTTAAGCTTTTTATTTAACAGAAATATATCTTGAAATGTACGTTACATTTACGTAGTTGTCTAAATCGGCATGGATATATGTTAAAATAGACAGTAACTACAAAATACAATTTTACTACATGTACATGTTAAGTTCCACTATCTATAGAAAATGACAAGATTCTAAACTGATCGCTCTAAACAAAACAGAGAGAAGAATTTAAAGCATATATTTAAAAAAATGTTTTTATACATCTGGGTCAAAAAGTAACCTTTGTTTTTTGAAAGGAAAAATCAAGCGCACGTTCGTATGCCGAGAAAATATGTTGCTGACAGAGTTGGTAGGATGTGCTGGTGTTAAGATGAGATATTCCAATTGTGATTTTAATGACTACATTTTTTTTACATATCTTTTTGGACATTGAAGAAAGAGTAACGTACATTTCAAGCTACATTTCTGAGTAAAATAACCCTCTACTTTACCGTCTTGTCATTATTCCATGTATTAAAATTTGATGAAAAAAAACCTGGAAACAAAATCTTCAGATACTTTCTTTCAAAGGTAATTTATAGAAAAATTGTTATCTTGAACTTCATTTTTTAAAATATCAGAGAGGCATTTGTGCCCTTATATTGAGAATGGGTGTTGTATTCTTCGTTATTAAACAATGATTTTTATTTAAAGCAAAACAGATTGTTTTTTTTCTTCAAAATATACGAGATGGAGTTAAAAAAAACTTTCTTTCCCTCCTACTGAAGCAAATTGTAGAATGTAAAACTGCCAGAAAAAATTAGAACAGACAAAAGGATGACATATATAGACCTTAAAATCGCTGACGTTGAATTTTCAATGGCAAAATCACAGTCACTCGAGTGAAAATTAGGTTGATTCTATTTATAGAGACCTTGTCATCACAATAACACTGAGCGATGCACGTAACCTGAGTAACCCTTGAATAAGAAATTTATCGCGCCTAAAGCTATAAAATCCTCGATTATACAAACATCGGACTATTTGGGAAAAATCCGGAAAACACAAAAGAATGCAAGGTAAGTTTTTACAAGATTTACAAAAACAATGATACCAAGAAAGCATAATATCGCACTTTCTGTTTTATTTTTAAAACGGGCGTTTTCTAATTAAAAAAAAAAGCTTAGTTTATATGCCTACTTTAATTGTTTACAAAGGTGCCTTTAGGAAGCATATCACAATATTTTTTTTCTTGATAAGAAGTTTTGTTATCATATTAATTAGGACAGTTCACACATTGATAAATGTACTTTCTTGTAATTTGAACAATCTCGGATAGAAAACGACCATTTATACCCCAAAAATATTAACAGTACACTGGTAACAGTATACACGCCAAACACAAAAGGGAATCTTTAATCTAACACATTCATAAGATGCCTGGGCGGATAAAGGTAGTGTTCTAATTAATTTCACGAGGAAGAAGACATTTTAGAAAATTCATTTATATGAATTAAACACTTTTTACTCATATTGAAACGCTACTTCTTGCCGTAGGAGAGCTGCAAATCTGTCAGATCGTTATATAAACATGTGTGGAATCAAAACCTCGATATATATTGAATAGGGTATTTGCTTTTAATAATTTTCCATAAATAGTATTCTACTAAAAGATATGATGCTCCCCCGAAAACCTTATTTTTAAATAATTCTCAAAGAGTACCAATGATTTTTATATCATATTCATAGTCTTATTTAAACATGTTATAAATATGTAATGTTAAACGAGAATTAAAAGTATAATTTTAAAGGATACATCTGAAACAAAGAGGTCTAGTGTTAATCATTCTGCTTAGTTGCATATCTGCCGAATTGGGACTATAGACAAGGTAGATTTTGAAATAAAGGTTTATAAAGAGAAAATAAATCGTTTCGTTTGATCCCCTGACATGAGAATATTGTTGTTACTTCAGTAAAAGTAGCGAATACCTTTGAAATTTTGAACGGAGAGGGTTTTGTCTAAATGACTGAAAGAATACAGAGGTAGAATTAAAAAAAAAATGATGTTGACTTGTTAGTGATTATCGCGAGCTGACAAAGTTCTTTAGCAAATTAGGTCGTGCAGTAGGGAAGCTTTTATAGAATGTATATGGTTTTATTTTTTTGTGGAGCCTCGACAGTTTATTTTGTTCAATTCAAATCAGTCAATTTCTTGCATCAATATTACCTACATAATATCAAAATATGGTATTCTGGGTCGTCTTAACAATATGAAATTTTCCTATAAAATTTTCTTGTCCTCCTACTGAATCAAGTTGAAGAATTGTGAAATCTGCCATAAAAAGCAGAATAAGTAGGATTACATACATAGACCTCAAAGATCGAAGACGTTGAAGGATCTCAGGGAAATATTACAGTCACTTGTTTTGAAAAGAAGGAGGTTAAAATAAAGTGAATTCTATTTATAGAGATCTTCTCATCAAAACAACATTGAGGCTAGCACGTAACCTGAGTAACCATTACATAAGGAATGTATTGTGTCTAATGCAATAAAAGCCTTGATTATACAAACACCCGATTATTTGGAAAAAAAACAACCAACTGTAAAAGAATGCAACGTAAGTTTATACAAGCATAATGTCTTTTTTTTTGAAAAGGGCGTTTCCTGTTTTAAGAAATGTTGAAAGTAGTTTACATGCCTATTTTAATTGATCATAGATTAGACTTTTGGTAGCCTATCCCAGGTATGAATTTTTATCACTGATTTGTATTATACAGTACATTCACATTTTTTTTTGTCAAATTGTCAAGGTTGAAGAAAAGAATGTTGGTTTATGTAGATTTGATTTTGTAATAAGGAGATCTGTATTTGAAATTTTACATTTAATTGTGGTCAGGAATTTCTCCGTCTTTCCATACCTCGAAAGGAGCGAAAATAAATTTTGTTGAATATCCAGGTTATGCTATTAGCATTTATCAAACCTGACTGCTTTTTGTCAAGAATATCGCTGTGGAATCGCGACCCGTTTTCGTGCTGGTTATCTTCAATCATGTTTTTGCAGTTATATATATCTGTGATTGTTTGTATAATATGTACTGACCTGTACAGGTATTGTAAATTTCTTTGGTATCTAAATTTTTGAGTGCAGTGTAGCATACATCTGTCTACAACGGTGTCGACTGATTGTACTAAACATGCAGTGACAAAGTCATGCCCTTATTATAGGGGAATTCCGATCGAAAATGGCGGACACATTCCTTTAACGAATAGTGTTCAGATTTAATATAGCAAAAACGATGCTATTTACATACTTTGTCGATACGATTTATCACCATTAATTGTCAACGTAATTTTCAGTTGGTTTCCAATAATGAAAAAGAGCACATAGCTGGTATGAAGGATTGGCATGGGATGCTCACTCCTCAATGACACCTGATCCGACCTCTGCTCGGCTCCAACATAAGTATTAAGTAATTGACGTTTGAGCTAGCAAAGCAAGTTTTTAAAATTTTCTGCAATCCTTCATTTATCTTTCTCTTTCATTGTTTCAATCCTATCTATATGTTCCTGGTGAATTTTGATTTTAATTCTTTTTTTTTGTTGTTGTTTTTTCTTTAATATTGATAAGAAATATTTTGGCATGATTATTATCCAGCATTATGTAGTTCTGAATAGCTAAAGACAGAAAATCTACAATAGTATTAACTGTTAGAAACCTTAACCTATCTGGATATGAAAAAAGTTGTTGCTTTGCATATATTAAAGACGGTTTTAATTTCATTATGTTGGCGATTCGTCATTTTTCCGGGAAATTAAATGAGAAAAAATATTAAAATATGTATACAAAATTGAAGTTATGTCCTTGCAACGTGAAATGAAAAACATTACGATTTGTAGTTTTTAAGAAATCGTGAAAATTAACACCATGGAATTTAAAAGCCGACTTACTCCTTAATTATAAATATCAAACCATTTTGTTTCTTTCAAACCTTTTAAACTGGAAATAATTTCTTGATGAGTATTACTTAATATAATGGAGGAGAAATAAAGACACCAAATCCACAATGGTATTTATTACTTTGGAAGCCATAACCTACATGCATCTGTGTATGAGAAAAGTTTTTTTTTATCAAATCTACTTTTACTACTACTACTTCATTAATTTACCTTTTAGAGAAGCAATAAAATGGCTTTGGCAGCCTCCCCTTACGCCTCTACAGAGGAGACGACAAATGCCTGTAGAGCCTGTCGACTTCTCCTGGGCCCGTGTACAGATCAACTGAGGGATATTTTACTTCACCATGCACCGTCAACATTCCCAAACGTCATTAAACAAAAGATAAGTAATCTTCCCCGTCTGACAGCACCACAACTAAATTTGATATTACCTAGAGGCAGTACTTATTCCGGGAACTACAATGATGTGGATATTCCATTATTGTACATACTACTTAGAAACATTTGCAGTATACCACCACACAGCAACGGCTGGGGAAATGATCCAGATTCTACCGACTGATCTCTCTCTGCCAACATTGAGAGAATCCGTATTGTCAGAAATCAGTGTGTTCATTCTTCTAGTCCCGTCCTCTGCAATGCTGAATTCAACACAATCTGGTCCACTGTAAGATCAGCAGTTGTCGACCTTGATTCTTTAGTTAATAACGGGAATCAGTACAAAAGAGAGGTGGATTTTTTGAGACATGAGACAATGGACCCTGTCCGTGACCTTCATTACATAGAAGAACTGAGGAAACAGGCCGAAGAAGATGCCGAAACTAGACAAATTGTTTATGGTCTTGAAGGTTACTATAAGATTTTTACAAAAATAAAACAATAAATAAGTAAATGAATTTTATTAATAAATCATATACAATAATTGATCATGTAAATGGTTAATTTTTAAGTTGTAAATTTGATTCAGATAAGATAGAAGAAATGAAAATAGATCAAGCTGAGAATCGACATAATATGCTGAAGATTGCTGGTAATTATAAGCTTACCTGAGCCGAAGGCTCAACTGAGCTTTTCTGATAAAAAATTGTCCGTTGTCTGTCGTTGTCTTAGTCGTAGTCGTTGTCGTCGTTGTCGTAAACTTTTCACATGACATCTTCTTCTCAAGAACCACTCGGCTAATTTCAACGAAACTTGCTACAAAGTATCCTTGGGTAAAGGGGATTCAAATTTTTTCAAATGAAGGGCCACGCTCTCTTCCTAGGGGAGATAATTATGAATTAGAGAAAAATTAATGGCATATAAAAAAAATCTTCTCAAAAACCACTGGGCCAGGAAAGATAAAACTCATGTGGAATCATCCTCAGGTAGCGTAGATTTAAGTTTGTTCAAATCATGACCTCCGGGGCTAAGGTGGGACCAAAATGGCCGACCCAAGATTTACATAAGAATATAGAGGATTTTTTTAAAAAAAAAATCTTCTCAAGAACCACTGGACCAGGAAAGATGAAACTCATTTGGAATCATCCACAGGTAGTGTAGATTCGAGTCTGTTCAAATCATGACCCCCCGGGCTAGGTGTTCTTTTTCCTAGCCGATGTTCTCAGGTGAGCGCTGTGGCCCCTGGGCCTCTTGTTTCTCAAATGTTTCTTTCATGTAGATAGAAAATGCAATAATCTATGATAGGCTATTTTCAACGGTATATGGAATTTAAACTGCGTTGAAGTGTTCACCACAATTATTTTCTGTTGAAAAATAACACTAAGGAGGCAATAAGTATTACCCAATATATTTCCTAATTGACGGCATTCTGGTGCAGTTTGAAGCATTTTATGTGTATAATGTATTTCGAAGTTGATTGAGTAATTTTGTTCATTTGAAAATTTTATTTTATTCAAACATTTTTAAACTGGGTGAATTCAAAGTAAGTAATATTCTCTCCTTTGTACCTTCATATGATATTTGAAAAAAATCTAGGAGTTGTTCGTTTCAGTGTGTATTTATGATGCATTTTCTTTGAAGACATTTCTAAATTTCCAAAAGAAATAATGTTTTGTCTTATTTCCAGTTGATGTGAAAGGGCTTAAAAACACAGTTGTTCCACTACACATAAAAGGTAAGCTTTGTAGGGAATAATAAGAAATTTAAGATCCCTTCCAATTTTTTTGTTTTTGACAAAGCGTATTACACATAACAGTGTCTCTCTAGTGAAAATAGAACTTTTTCTAGGTACGTATTTATTGAGTACATGTTTCTTGAAGTTTTATTGGTCTGTTTACATCATTATATCAACTTGTACTTTTTAAAAATAAATACATGTAAGCAAGTTAAAACCGCAAAACAATAAAAAAAAATGTATGGTAGTTTGCATGTTTTATTAAGAATTAACAGGATAAATCGTTTTGACATGTGCTTGAAAAAAAGGCAATTAATAAAATCGACTTTTTTTCTTCTCAATGTGGAATAAATTTCCATGACAAGAATTTCCTTCCTTTCATAAAGAGTTTTTTCAAAATAATTTTTAAAAAAGCATACCTATTGAAATTGGAATATCCGTATAAACCGAGGTACTGTATCACAGAAGGTGCTTGCTCGAAAAAGATCCCTCATTGCGCAATGGCTCTGAGTGCCGAGAATAGGACAAAATTAGCAGCTCTCCACCGGCATGTGGTGTCTTCTCCACATGAGTGAAAAATTCTCGAGAGGGACGTTTAACAATATACAATCAATCAATTATAAATTTATATGTGATTGGAATTGACAGATAATTCATTGTTCTTTTCATTGTATCCCCTCTTCATCAATTACGCCTGCCATGATCCCCCTGCATTGTCTTTGATCAGATAGAATTTTATCTAAAAACTAAACTTTTATTTTTTCTATGAAAACGTCAGACAAAATGTTAGCAAATGTCAATATATCTTTACATTCAATGTCATTATGAAAAGTGTAAAATTTTGAATTTAAATGTGCCCTTTAAAGAAAATATTGAGTCCGTATCTCTTTATCTAGCTCTGTTTTAACAAATTGCATGAAAGTATCGCATGAGTGTTAAGATATAAAAACAATATGCAATTCATTTATAGCAAAATATGATTCTAACTAAAGGTATCGTGATCGATGAGCTCTTTAAATGTTACCCCCGCTTCCATATAAATATAATGACAGTGTATGTCATTTAGTGGTATGAAAGGAGTTACGGATAAGAGATGGGTACTCCAAAGTGTAACAGACAAACGAACGGACGAACGTACGGATAGACGGACGTAGAGACAGACAGACAAACGGAGGGATGGACTCACCATTTACCATATACCCTCCCAATTTTCAGGCGGGGGAGAGGGTATAATTATAAAGAATGCTGGCAAAAAATAAGTTGAAGTTTCGTAACATGTTATCTTCTGGTCATTGTTTAAATTCTTCTTTTTAAAAAAAAATGGATCTTCGGGAATATATAGGGACAAAATATGGAAATACTTTTATTTTCAAGATATTGAACAAAACTTGAACAAAACTTTGAACTTCTTCTTCTTAAGATCTCAAATCCATCGTGACTATACGAAGGCTGTTCGGAAATAATTGAGATATTTACCTCGAATCTATAAAGGACGGAGGTAATTTTATGAAGAAAAAAAAACAATATAATGCATGCAATTTTTTTAATCCTATGATAATTAGGTAAGTTCCGGAGAAATAATAAACATACTAATATGTATATATCGACGCGGAGCAGCATCGCTACGTCATTTACCGTCATGTCAGCCAGAGATGTTTTCGCATGTGAAACGATCGGGAAGGCCTTTACTGCTCTGTTGTCTTTTTTTCTAAAACGATTCTTTAAAAAAATGTATATGCTGTTGCTACCCAAGTGTAAAATTTTCATTTGTTTAAAATATGACTTGGCATCATGAAGTGTCAATTTATGCAACGTGGGTCAACGATATTAATATTGTACATAAAAACTGAATGTCATCCGAAGCTAATGAATTTACTCTGGTCAAATTATTGGTAAAAAAAAATCTTTACCAATGCAATAACAAACCCTTACACATTAATTTCGTGTTGCTATAGTTTTATCAGGTAATTCAGTCTGTAAAAATGTTCTATATAGCACTACACAAAATGTAACGTGTGCTCACTGTTCTGCCTTGATGTCAAATAACATTTGTCGCTGTTAGCAGATTTCTCTCATGTGCTTGTTTTTTTTAATGATCCCTGAGTTTCTGATCAAAATTCAAACAATTTTTTACAATATTATAATATATAATATATCAAGATCTAGCAACCAAATTTAATCAATATAGCCTAAAATTTTCATTTTCAAAGCATGCATTCGATGGGTTAGGTGAGGCCTCAATAGGCTAGCAAAGCTTTGCATTGAATAAAAGTATTTAAAAAAAAATAATTTTTGAAAAAATATCATTCCTTAACAAAAAAAAAATGAGGGATTGGTAATTTCTCCAGTTGAGGAAGATCTAGTAGAGAAGGTGGGGGTACTTCTGGAGGCGGGAGCAGATGTGAATGTGATCATAGATTACAGGATATATCGAGAGTGTTTATTAAAAAAGTTGGGTACTTGCGTGTTTGCATGTTACGATGAATTAAATGATATGATGACTGTATTAATTAAAACAAAAACGGCATGTCTCTTTTAGAGATTACACGACGATTCCTACGAATGATACACAGAAGAAGAGTACCTGTGTACAAAAAGGTGTTGAATGAATTGAAGAAGCATGTGCGACGACACTCTGTGTGATAAAATATATATATTACATCCTACATTTTAACAATATAGTGTACATAAAAATATACGACTAGAATGTCTATATTTCTTGCATTCCGGGATGTGTATATTTGCTACAGTACAGAACATAGGTATCGTTGTTCATTCTGACAAGCATAATGATTTTTTTCTTTTCAAAGCATAAGAAGGTTTTCATGCCATCTTTGAAATAATGTTTAGTTGCCTTCATCCTACTCTGTGTAAAATTTTTTGGTCGGTAGGTAGATGGGAAAATATTTCTTTTCAGAAAATTTCAACATATTTGTTGACCGGATAAGAGGAATAAAGAGGAAAAATATATCGTATATTGGAATACAAAAAAAAAGTTTTAAGTCAAACCTCTTTTTGTCAGTCGCTCGGGAGAAGGCAACCAAACAATTTTTACATATGGTTTTGTCTTTATGCATGATTACATTATTTACTGAATATGAGTTGGAGCATCAACTCATTGTATTTCTTTCTTTCTATTATATACACCTGTCTCGTTAGATTGTGATAAGGGCATGCAAGTACATGTATAGAAAATTATCTGATAAGCTCGGGGACCAAAGTCAATCCTCCAGTTTCTTCTGTAAGGAAGATTGTCACTTGTTACAAAACACCACATGAAGCCGCATGTAGGAGTGGTCAATCGTGTATTGTGAAAAATTTGCTAGAGGCAGGGGCTGATGCCAATATTGGAGGTTCTAACACAACGCCCTTAATAATAGCATGCGAGCGTGGACATATACGTAAAGTAACCATCTGCTAGACGCAGGGGCCGATGTCAATCTTAAATGTGTATTTGACATAACACTGATCTCAACTTGTGAGCGTGGACACATGAGTATAGTGCAGAAACCTCTAGAGCAGGAGCACAAGTTCATATAAAGGGCTTGAAGGGGGAACACCTCTACATATAATGATTTTAAATAGCACTGAGACTCGGATACCCGTTAAATTGATGGTCAATAATTATGGTGCAGACCCAACTGTCTGTGATAAAGAAGGGTTTTTATCAATTAGTATTGCTTTGATGATGAATAAATTGAAGTTATAAAGCAATTATGTAGCACTGAAAGTCATTTAGACTGAAGTTCTATTTGTGTGACTGCTAAAGAGTCATATTACAAAGAGATGTGATGTTTGACAGCAAGGATAATGTGGTGTTTAAAGAAGGAGGAGTGATGGATATGAAGAGGTTCGGGTATAAGTATGAAACTATATTTGAAAGTAAAAGTGACGTACTGAAACATCTGTTAAA